TTAAAATTTTTGAAATCGGTGTGAAATCGATTTAAGATAAAAAGTCTGTTCACACACACACATACTTTTTCCAAATTTGGTCTCATTCAATTCAGAATGGCTTGAAACGTCGAAAAAACATAAAACTAGCGAATCAGATTTTTTGATAAAAACATAAACTTCTTCAGAAAGTTAATTATTAGCATTAGACAGATGCTAATAATAAAAAATATATTAAATATAGATAGGCCAAACGTTGGGTTACTTTTTAAAAGACGTCATTTTCAACCATTCAGCCTAATTTCGAGGCATAACACACAGGGTCTATTAGACCCCAGCAGTGTTTAAACGCTCGCTGTGGGCAGACTATAAACTCGATTTAAAAAAGAAAATAAAATTGGAACTATCTGCAATGCAACTGCTATGGCGACAGCATACATTTTAAAGGTAAATAAAATTAAAGGCCTGAATAATGCTCGGAAAAGAGCGACCTTGTGAAAAATGGTCTAGTCTAGTTGACCCATCAGGCAAAAGCTTATATAGACATAGAAGAAAAGTTGAATATATATATATATATTACTGCATTCAATTATTGAAGAGGCTAATAAAGGAAATGCGGTATTAATTTCTTGGAATGATATTTCTCACATTAGCAGCTTTTAATTTATTCAGCGACTTTTATTCCTTTAAATATAATAAACAAAATTAAATTTTAGTATGCGGTTACTTTTAATATTTTTTGTTGTTAATATAAATAAAATAATATATAATGTATGATACAATATTTATTATATAATATAATATATAATATAAATAAAAGAATAATCTTATATATAAAAATGGAGCTCTCGATCGAATGATTCGGTAAAACTCGAAAACGGCTAAACCGATTTGGCCAGTCTTAGTCTTGAAAAATTTGTGCCAGTCCAAATGGTCGGAAAGGTGAGATAATATTTCAAAATCGCGTAGAAACTTTACATTTTTAATTTGAAAATTTTTGTAGAAGCGTAATTTAAATAAAACAATGGACGGTGGCTAATGTCAAACGTTTTTGACAGATGATGTTCAATTGCGTTTAATAGGATGTTTTACGTAAATATTACTTAATAATGATTAAATAGTAGTAAGTAGTTTTGTTCGTAGTTATATTTATATACAAAAACGTTAGTAAACGGGCCTCAACTAGAGACTCAAAATATCAACTTTTTTGAAATATTAATATGAAAATGCACTTTTTGGCATATTTTTCTCAAACACGGTGCTCTGAAAGATCTCATTTGTATAATTATATACTCATTGATATTTTTAAAACATTTTCTAGGATATATTATTTTTTATTGGACAAATTGTCGAATAACATTTTCCCAGTTATAACAGTTTCCAGAATTTCTCGAAGAATAGATAGTAATATATGAAGGTCCGGGGTTAAAAAAGTCCACCACTGATGTGTCAAAAATCAGTAAAGTAAACAATATTTGAAAGTAGAGGAAAAAAGATGGTTAACCAGCCAATCTTGATTTGAAAACGGTAATCTTTGAAATGGGGGAGATAAACGGTAATCTTTGAAAATCCATAATAAAAGTATTTTCTTCCGTTGGTAGTTTTTTAGCAATAGTTAAAAATGTAATTATTTTGTAAAATACATTTAAAATTATAATAAGGCTTTAAACCTTTTAAAAAAATAAAGGCCACCTGCCCGTTTCAAGTTACCCTGCCTATAGGGTAAAAAGGTCTTGATAACAAATTTTTGAAAGACATCCAAAAAGCACATTTCTACAATGATGAAGTAGAAGGCAGTTTTACTGAACGTAGTCAGATAATTTTTCGCTTGGTATGTGTTATTTGTTGTGATATATTTGTTATGGTTCTCACAATATAGTTTATATTTGCTCAAAGTCAAATTGGACCTTTGTGCCTCGCCCTGCTTTACATATATACTTTTTATTAAATTTACTTTAATTCATCGAATGTTACTTGAAACTTTTCACAAAGCAGGCCAAAGAAGAAATACTTAATTCATTTTCTATCTCTCCTCGAAGAAATTTGAAAATTTTGTATAAGCTCAGTAGTATTATTTACAATTATACACAAACTCTTTATAATACCTCATTGTATATAGCATTCAAACAACACATCCTTATACACTTAAAGTATCAATGTTTTTGATTCTCTAGAATTTTTTTAAAATATACCTTAATTAGCAAAACAACGTTTGCCGGGTCAGCTAGTATAATATAAATAAACTTAATTAAGCTTGATAAGCATTAGCTGAACAATAAAGAAATTTATTAAAAAAGATTAATAAACCTATAGATAAAACGTGTTTCAAATTAATATATTATTTTGTTCCCGTTTGCTATTTAATTATTGTTAAAAAAATAATAATATATAATGAATAAAAACTATGGGAATTGTCTTAAATTTTATATACAAAACCAGAATGTATTCATTCGCAAATATGTGGAAGTTGTATTAAAAAGAGTAGCGTATTTGTTAACCGTTACTTTTGATTATTCATCGTACAACTACAATATAAAATAAAGTTCTTCTCACAGTGGCCACTAGCAACATCGTAAGAAAGTCTTAAAAAAAGACCTTTATTCTAACAAATCGCATTCGATTAATTTCAAGAATTCATGTTTTTCTAACGGAACGTATATTTTTCATTTTTCATTTTTCATTTTTCATACATCTGAAGCTTTAAAAAATTCGCAAATTACTCTTCATTCTTGAATTCAATTATTATCTATATTACTATATTACGATAGTTTGTTTATTTTTTTTTTAAAGTTTTTCATTAGAATTATTGCAATAGATCACTTTACGATAATGAACATCAAAAACACCAGAGTTTTTAATTATTATTTAATTTAAGAAATTACTGTTTGCAAGTTGCCGCTTTTTTTCTATAAATTGCTGATTTGTTGATTTCTATTACAATGATGTAAACATTAAAAAAATGGTGCTTTTCATAATAGAAATATTTTCAAAAACACACGTAGAAGGGATATAGTATACAGTAATAAAGAAAATACTCTATCACAACAACAAAAAAAATTCTTTTATCAGGCCTTCATTTTAATTTGCAAACTTTATATATGTAGGCACTAGTTTTGTTTTAATGGTATATTTAGAAAGATATGTTATATCAATTACTTTGAATTAGAGCCAAAGAAATCTAAAAAAAATAAAAGAAAAGAAAGTTAAAGAAGATTGTAATGACAAAGTCATTTTGAACACATTATAATGTCGAAATAGCATCATTGTTCTAAATTGTGAAGTTTTAACAAAATACAAACTTTTCAAAGTGATATCAGATAAATGATTCCACGCGATCCGTACAGCCTGATATCGAGCAGTAGTGTCATGGATTTTAACTTAAAAATATAGCTAGAAAAATATTTGCAAGTGATTAAGTTAAGATTAAGTAGTGGTGTATGGCTTTGTGCCTTAAGACAAATTGCTGGAACTTCCCGTACCGTAACGAAATGTTCGAGAAATATTAAATGTTTTCAAATAGATTGTTATAAATACTGTAATATTGCCTAATATTTATAAGAATTATAATAACCGAATTGCAAAGTTTATATTTATTTAAAGTGTTTAAGTGAGCTTTAGAACTTTAGCCAAAATTATAGTTAAAATACGAACTATCCTTGATATACTAAAAACAATTATTTGGGTAAAAAAAAAATCTTGAATTAAAACAAAAAAAATACCAGAAGCAATTGTTTTGTCAACACAAGCACAATTTTTTTGGAATCATTCAAATCGGATGCTTATTTTTCTCAAAAACTGCACTTTTTTGCATATTTAAAATGGCTGGACCTGCCATTGCCGAAAACTAATCGCCACTTCTCTCCATCATTACGAATTGAATGTTTTTTGAACCATTCAAATCGGATGCTTCGTTCTCTCGAAAACTCGATTTCTATTTTCTGCACTCTTTGCTCCGTATCTCTGAAACGGCTGGACCTGCTTTTACCAAAAACTAATCAGCACACTTCCCGATCAATAGGATTGGAATGTTCTTTGAACCATTCAAATCGTTTGAACCGTGCGCCAGAAAACGTGGCCGAAAAATTGCGGACACACAAAACATACTACACATTCATGTTTTCTAAGGTATGCCAAAATGTTCAGAAATCTTCAAAACATGAAGATATGCAAAAATTTAGAAGATATGCAATTTCGATTTTTGGACGGTTACAATAACTTACCCTACGGAAAGTTAAAAAAACAATCAGTATTTGAATGCTTCTAAAATACATCAAATGAAGATGGGGCAACCATTGAGTTGTCTTCTTAAAATCTGCGTAGTCATTTCACAACAGTTTATAAAACTCTCAAGTTCTGAGTTCGAATATAATAACATTTTTCATTTCTTACAGTTAAAGATGAACTGTAAAATTCTTGAATAATTTATGTTTTCAATGGTCTGAAGATACAACTAGTTATTTAATGAAAACAAAAAAAATATCATTATAATCAAATTAAATTTCAGATTTATTTCTTCTTCTAGCATATTCCTGCATGTCGATTATTTTACCAATTTTTAAACCCACAAATTAAACATTCAAGTCGTATAATTTTTTACAATTGCTAAGTTTTGTCAAAAATTGTTACAGTTAGAAAAGGGCATATATATATTAAATATACATATTTTTAGCATTTATTGAATCCATAATTCAGTTAACACGTTGAATGCGGTGTTGACATCCTTTCCTTCTTTCCTGGTGCGGCTTTCCTCAGTGCCTCATTTACTTTCAATCTATCCCCAAAATTATCAGCATAGTAGAAGCAACTAGTTATACCGCAGTCAACGTGTTGAGAGTTTAATGGCTAACTCTTCAAAATCGTAATAGTTCGAAAAGGGCTTTAGTTACTTGTATGGACGTGTGTTTCCGCTTTATGCGTTTGCTTGTTTAATATGGCGCATAGCGTGTCATACGTTATGTTTCATTGTTGAATTGTATAAATTGTATAATTATATTTTATAATCTTATAATTGTATGTTACAGATTCATCAGCGCTTGATCCAAGAAAAGCCTTCCAAAAATGAGTGTCGCTCGCTATGAAGATATTGTTGCAGGCCCTTTGGCCAAATTTTTGAGCCTTTCAAAAAGTATTGGCGGAGATGTTGCGCAGCAAACTGTTTTTGTGGAGAATGCCTTCAAGTTAGTATGAAGTACCATTTAAATAATCGCGAAAATAGATTGTTGACGTTTTTATTATTCTAAATAATTTTTCTATAAATTTTTATAGCAAGCTTTTACTGATGTTGATATCAGTCAACTGCATGTAGAGCTAGCTAGTCATATTTACTATTATGTAATGAAGTTGATTCATTTATTTTTGGACATGTTTGCTTTTTTTAGATATCTAACATTTTCTTGTAGGATTGAATTCTGCAATATGAATTATATTTTTTATATTCTTCTATTTCTATAATTCAGGGCACAATTAGCGTTTATCACAACTGCAAGCACTGCATCACAACCTGCTCCTGATGTCTTACAACAACTATTGCAACCGACCAGCCAACAGGTAATGACTAACTTACTTGTTAGTTTCATTTGGTTTTTTAGTAATTTGATAAATCACTTAAAAATTCCACTAGTATCTATTATAATTAACTTCACGAAGGAGAAGTTTGTTTTCTTCAAAAAATCCGATTCGCTAATTTTATGTTTTCTCGACGTTTCAATCATCCATTCTGAATCGAATGAGATCAAATTTGGAAAAAAAGTATGTGTGTGTGTGTGTATGTGAACAGATTTTTTGCCGTAAATCGACGTTTTCTCGAAAACGGCTAGTCCGATTTCAAACATTTAAAAGCCATTCGATGTATCTCGACGAGGACTATCGTTTGTCAGCTTTGCCGGACGATTGGCCGAGACGTTTCTTTATAAATAGCAGAAAAGTGAGAAATTTTTCGTCCGCGTTTTAGCCCGCAATACTGAACTGACTATGAAAATTCAAAAACCGTTCGAAAGATATTGATTGGGAATCGTGCTGATTAGTTTTTGGTAAAGATCGGCCGGGCCGTTTTCTTGTAATAAAGTGTTAAAAAAAATTTTACGACAATTTATTATTATTTTTTTTAACGGTAGATACTATAGTCTTCTAGATTTATAGATACTAAAATATTACGGCCCTACGACAATTGGTTTAACTTTGAAAATTCGTCAAAGTTTGCAAAAATTGGTATCGTTTTTTTTGGCATTTGTCAAAATTAGACCTTTCATCGACGTTTACTCAAAAATGCCTGAACCGATTTCAGAAATTTAAAAGCCATTTGATGTATTTCGATGAGGACTATCGGTTTTCAGTTATGTGCGACGATCTGCCAAGCCGTTTCTTTGTAATTTGAAATAATTGTTAAACTTTTCGTCCACATTTAAGCTCATTCTACCGAACCGATTTTAAAAAATCAAGAACTGTTCGAAAAATATTAGTTGGGAATGGTACTGACGGGAAGTTCATGTAACTTGCCTCAAGGCAAAAACCAATACCAACTAGTTTTTGAATTAAATATATTTATTGTGAAAGCTACAGTGTAGTACAAATTGCTCCTCTTCGACTCTCTTAATTTTTTATTATGCTATTTATTTTTTCTACCAACAGTTTGACCAAATTGTTAGTTGGTATGTTATTTGGCAGTCTAGATGCCTTTTCGATTTTAAATAAGTTACTATTTTTATCTTTAATCTCATGACATTATCAGTGGTAATTGTATTTACAAATGAAAAGATTTCTGTGAAAGTTGTAACTGGATAGCATAAATACTGCTTTATTATGCATAATGACGTTGTCATTATTTTGCTGAAAAGTATAAGGTTGTTCGAAAAGTCACTTCGTTTTTTTACCACCAGAATTTAACAATATATTTTTTTGATCCTAACCTCATACTTTGCCCAATTATTATTATATGATTTGAAAACTCATATTTTAAAGCTTGTATATAAAAAGCTAATCAATTACATGCAGTAGTTTTTGGATGGTGTCACTTTGAATACGGAAAGAATTAATCAGCATTTTCGACATATTCTACTCTTTTGCTATAAAAAAGGTAAAAATTCTATTAAAAGTCAAATGAAATTGACCGATGTGTACGGAAATGACGTGTTAAAAGTACGACAGTGCCAAAACTGGTTTGCTAAACTTCATTCCTGGTAATTTGATGTCAAAGATGCACCAAATTCAAGAAGTACAGTTGAAACTGATAAAGACGCGAGAAAGGCATTAGTTGGTGCAAACGGTGATTAACAATAATAGAAATAAACGGGTGTCGTCGCACTGGCTTCCACAATTCGCCTCTGAAAAGTCCTGAAAATTAACAGGTTTTGAACGAATTGTCACTAGGATATCAAATGCGATGCGATAGCAGCCGAGCGATTCACATCGAATAAATAAATCGTAAATAATTGCATAATGTCTTCCGAGTCGGATGGTCAGTGCGGCCGACCACCTGACCCAAACTTTTACCTGCCGCTCTGCGATTGGAGAGTCTACAGCAGATGCAAGAAATACTAGCTTAAAAGATTGAGTGACATGGATTTTTTGTGATACTGAAAGTGTAATTAGTGTAGAAAATGAATCAGTTAGTAGTTGTGATTTGAACATTAAGAATAGTGTTAATGTTAATTATAAATATAATATCAACGATGTAAGTGCAAATTAGTAATAAGGGAAACGTTAGAACAAAAGGAAAACAAAGGGGAAAACAGTAATTTAGCGTCAATAATAGTGATACAACAATGGAAATAACAAAAGATCTAATACTTGATAACAATATAACGATCAAAAAAATCAGATGAAAGAGTTAATCCATTAAATATTTGATACGTTTCGAAGTTTGCGATATGGGCCCTTACTATATTTGTTAATCCAAGACAAAAATATAGGCCGACTACACCCGATGGCTTGGGAAAAATCATACATAATGCAGGGTATTTCAAATTTGTTTTGACAGAAGTTTCGGTTATAGAAAAAATAAAGTAAAGATGGAATTTAAAAGCGCCAGGGTGGCGAACAAAATTCTAGATGACAAATTTTAGAAAAAATAATCTGAAGGCCTACATCCCAAAATACCTACTTGCAAGGCATGGCATAATATTTGATGTGGATGCGATCTCTCAGAACAAGAAATTATAAACGCCATTGAAACAGACATTCCGGTTATAGACGTGGTATGTTTAAGACCGAAAATAATAATACATATAAAATACTCATCACAATGTTTCAAATTAACGTTTAGGGCACAAGTTTACCGAATAAGGTAGCTATACACTTCGGTAAAATGTGAGGTTCGACGTTTGTACAAAAGTGGTCCAATGCTACAAATGCTGTCGGTCAATCACGTTAAGGACCAATGTAGAGGAAAAGAGAGATGTATGAAATGTTCCGGAGAACATAATGCAAAAATATGTATAGCATCCAATTTCTAGGTCGTTGTGCCAGGGGGATCACCCTGCAAATGATAAAGAATGCACGGTATTTATTAAAAAATAAAAAATTAAAGAAATTATGGCTTGGCAGAATCTATCATACCATGAAGCCAGAAATATATTATATAAAGACAGCTATGCAACAATTCAAAAGCCGGATTCAGTTTCACGGGCAAAGATAAAGAATTTCCAGGTTTGTATGCAAACCTGCATTCTAGTACAGACAGCAAGATAACTAAAAATAGGTTCGACGCTCCTTTCTGATTTAGAGGAGGAGGAGCAACCGGAATTTTTAAATCCGACAACCTTTCATAAACCTAAAAGAGCGACTTACAAAATTACCAAAAGCAATACTCCATTCAATTCTTAGTCCTCAATAAAAAACCAGTCGCGTGAAGGAACCTGTATCAAATAGAATAACAAAACCGAATTTAACCTCAACCCAGAAGAAAGGTTAAAACCGAGCATGGAACGTGAATCTGCAATAGTCGAAAATAATAGCAATGTTCAACAAGATGTTCATTAAATTTCTTAAACGAATTCATTGAAAAAATTAAACATATATACATTCCTAGTAGCGCTGAACATTATAACTTGTTGTCAGAAATACTAAACAAAATGATGAGGTCCAAAGTTGGACCCGACAAACAAGTTTGATTTGGCTGTGAGCACAGTATATTACGTATGGAAGCTTAAAATTATTAGTGATAATAACTTTAAAAAAAAAATAATAATAATAATATAATGCTAAAAATTATTCAAATCAATATCAGATCTGTTTTTTCAAATAAGCTTCATCTAGAATCCTATTTAAACACCAACATATAGATATCGTAATATTATCTGAAACATGGCTCACAGATAATAATAGATTTCAGATATCTGGATACGCCTTTATATCAAAGAATAGGGAAGATGGTTATGGAGGAGTTGAATACTTATCCCACCGAAGATACCAATTTCAGACGTTAAATTTAAACAGTTTCATTACCAATAAAATTCAGATTTGTGGAATTAAGCTGGCCATACATAACATAACACTTAATATTGTGG